TAATTGTCGCCAAATGCCAATGCCGCAAACCTCTCTCTCTCTCTCTCTCTCTCTCTCTCTCTCTCTCTCTCTCTCTCTCTCTCTCTCTCTCTCTCTCNCATTTCGTCCCTCCTTTTTTTTTTTTTTCAATTCACGCACGGCACCATCAACCTAAACCTACCCGCACTACACACCGCAAAGCCCTCTTCTTTTCCTGTCTCTTATACACATCTAGATGTGTATAAGAGACAGCTCTCTCTCTCTCTCTCTGGCGCCTAACTTGGCGCCCAAACGAAAAGGAGTTTGACGCCTAAACTGGCACCCAGGGCCTGTGCCCTTGGAAATGGTGCCTGGGGCCTGAAACGGTGCCCAGGGCCTGTGCCCTTGGAAATGGCGCCTGGGGCCTGAAACGGCACCCACAGCCTCTGCCCCCTGCTGCTGGCCTAACTGGGCCTCTAACCTGGGGCCTGGCGCTTACGAAACGACGCGCCAGGGCCTGGTGCTAATCTGGCCTAATCGTCCTACTAACCCCGCGAACCCTGCTCCTACGGACCGGGCCCTGCGGAGGGCCCGTGTGGAACCAAGAATGCCACACCCAATGCCTCGAAACTAGAGAAGAGAATGAGGAGAGAGGGAGGTGAGACAGAGAGGAGGAGGAGGAGAGTTCCTACATGAATTAACGAAGCAGGTTCCCTCCCAAGCCCTCTTCCTCCTTGGGTATTCCCTCCCCAACTCGCCACGTCAGCAATACAGTTCTTCCCTGTCGATCTCTGACATGTACAATGAGCAGGTCATAGCAGGGCGCGCATCCTCCTGCCACGTCAGCAGCAGCCAAGGAGGATGGCGCAGATCTCCCTCTTGAAGACAATCAGCAAAGCACACGCGTCGTCACAGGTTCGTCCAGGTAAGCTTCTCCCTATCCCTCAAACCAATCTCACAGTCCAGATCCTCCTCCTCCTCMCCCTCTCTCCCGCCAATGTCGCAATCAATGTAGCTATGGCCACGTCAGCATAATCCCTCAAGGCTGGCGCCTGCGCACAGAAGATGGCGCCAGCATAGAGAGCTCCGGCACTCTCACGTCGTCGCACTAGCGTCAAGCCAGTGTCAAGCAGAGCGCACAAGACTGAATGATCTCAAGCAGGGGCTGGGTCGACTTATAATGTTGACTTACGTTTACCAGCCTCTGTTCTCCTGAGTACGACGGCCCAGATCTCTCGGCAGCCAATGGCCTGGAAGTCATACAGTTGCAGATTCCCCACGTGTCCCACTTGGGTCGGATTCTTCTGGATACCTGCAGACAACCAATGATGTGCATCCGATCTACAGCCGAGGCTGACCAGCGGGTTGACTTTGACTTCTGGGCCTGGGTTCCCGAGCTGGGGTTGACCGTTGACTTTCCCAGGGTCAACTGCTTCACGCAGGGCCTCTGAAGGCCAGTTTTGACCTTGCCCTGGGTACCCCTTGACATCAGGCCTTCGTTCAGGCATTACCAAGACTGAGGTTATGACTTTTGACCCCTGTTTCGGGCCTTTGACCTAATGCAGATTTGAACTGAGTTATTGCAATTGACTAATTTTCTATCAAAATATATAACGGACCTCAAATAGTTTATTCCACTTCACTAATGGGGATGTTGGCAATGTGTTGTCCACACAGACAAGCTCAGAAGAGAAAAGACATACACACACCGCCAAGCCTATGGAAGCTGATCAAACAAGGCCCAGCCCATCTGGTTCAGTGACTGTTCACGTTTATCAGCCCAACCCCTTGATGTCTCGTCAGAGGAGAACTCTTGTGACATGTCATTTCCTGAACATGCACATACGGTTCAACTGCCATGCCCACAACGTAATCTCTATCCAGATGATCACTGCTAAGAGATGGTCACTGCCAGCTTCTGCCTCGAGAACTGCAGCCACTGTGCTTATGTTCCCTGTATGTGTAAACCACGTTGCTTCTGACATTGGCTTTACTGCACGCCACTGTCAGCCTTAGATGTATTGTTTGCACACACCTCACCCTAACCTGTGATGTCCTGTTTGTGGGCGCAGTCAAATGCCTCAGTACTACACGTTGGTTTTCCCTCATGCATCCTCTACAGTCCAACCCTGCATTCATCTGTTGTGCTTGTGAGCTCGAGAATATAATGTGATCCCCTTGTTTTCTTGCACCCCCTTTCTTTTCCCCGCCTCTCTCCACACCTTTCCCTCTGTTTCCTAGAATTGCTACATGTACGCAGATTAACATCAGTACTAAGATAACATACAAAATACAGAGTGCTAGTGTCCTGTTAAGGCAGACGAGTGAGTGGCCACTTGGCGCTCAGCTACACAACCGTGGCCAACCTTCCACTACTCAAATTTGCAGCAAACAAATGTTCTTAAATGCAGCCAAGAACATCACAATCATTTTAAGTGCTGATGACTCTTCAGATGGGAACGTATTCAGTATGACTTCTCTGCTTTAGGGCCTGGTTGCACCACTAGCCGTTCACCAACATTCTGAATGCACATGGACATTGTGTTTGTCCGGATGCATTCAGAATCTTGGCGGATGGCGAGTGGTGCAACTAGGCACTTAAGGAAGAGAAGGCGTTTCACTCAATGCCAACATCACGAATGTGATGTAACCACTGAGGCTTACATTGTTAAGTTTATTGCAACACTACATCTGTGTACTTATCGTCAGGCGTATTGGCAGGTATTTTGGCAGGCACTTCACCCGCACATTCATCTTCTTAGTGCACAATTGGGCTCCCAGTAAGGTGCATTGACAGGCAACACCTTGAATCCACAGCTCGCTTAAGCTCAAGACTCCCCATGTGACACCAGTAGCACTGCTGCTCTGTCTGTGTGAGTTTCAACAAACAATTGTCATTGTCTCCAAAGAATCAATCGAGTCCCTCATGCGAGACCCCTTGTGCCACCAGTAGCACTGCTGCATGACTCCCCATATGAAACCAGCAGCAATGCTGCTCTGTCTGTGTGAGTTTCAATCAAACCATTGCAGCACTGCTGCTCTGTCTGTGTGAGTTTCAATAAACCATTGCCATTATTATCTCCCTCCCTCATGCGAGACCCCTTGGCCTCCGCAGCCACTGTAACGCATTGAGGCCGCCCTAGGTGAAGGCGGCCCTGGAAAATACACACCGTTCGTAAGTGAAAGCCAGTGTAGTGACAGGCACCAAACCGTGTAAGTAGCCGGTAGGCCCAGCCTCTGAGTTAGGACGCAGCCCCAGTAGGCCGCAGGCACTGCCTACTGGGTTTGCACGCAGCCTCCAGTCCATCACAAAAGAGAGGAGGCCATCAGCCACAGACATTCCGGCAGATGCTGCAAGGCGTGGGTGCTGTTGCACAAGGTGGTGAAATGCAGCGCCTGAAGAGGACGAGCAGCTGTGATGGCCGAAGTGAGCGCCAGCCATAGCTGGGCGCAGGGAAGCTGAGTGGAGGAGTGTGAAGGTTGGGGAAGAAGGGCTGCAGCGGGGAGTAGCTGCTCTTACCTGGTGATTACAGAGGAAGCCTGGATGAACAGAGTCTTCAAGCGGCATTGGGCGAGTGGCACGTGGACGTCGAGTGAGGTTGTAGAAGCTAGCATGAGGAGAGGTAGTAGGAAGTAGATAGGCCGGTCACATCGCAAGTAGAACTACTACATTGTTGTTCCATTGATGACTGGAGGCGGATGACGGGCTTGCTTTACCTAGAGACTTCGGTGTTCTGCTTGCTCATGATTGGTGTGCATTTCGGTTTGGTTTTCTGCTTTCAACTCGGCTCAATCGTGTTCGGTCTTCTGTGAGGTTTTGCAATCTGGATTAATTGGTGTTCTCATCGCATGGTTCCTTGCACTTTTTTCTTCTTTTTTTCTTTTAACACCATGAGAGGCAAAACAAACGGTGATGTACTGATCACATATTGGCCTCTGACCTCGAAAACCAATTGGGACAAAGAGAACGAACCGGCCGCTAACTTATTGGCTTCGCTAGGGGGAGGGGGGGGAAGGCTACTTGTAAAATGCATATCCGCACCCCCCCCTCCCCCTCGCCCTCTCTTCTCAATGCGGTTGACAGGGGAAATGGCCACACATCGATCAGCATTTGCACTCTTCTCTATGACAACTGCCCCAAATCAGCATGTGCTATGATAAACACGAGGAAAGCACCAGGGGAAAAGAAGGAAATGAAACGGAGCAGAAACGCCCATACGCACTACTAATATGCAAACGCCCAAAGGAGAAAGGGAATGGACGCACTGGTGTTGTGGTGCATGCAGGCAATGCTTGCTCAGTTTTCAGACATAAGGGGGTCTGCACCTGAATTCAACTCTCCACACGCAAACATCAGATGTTAACAGAGAAAGCAGGTAGCCCACATCCATTAGCACCCTCAAATGACAACAGAAACAACAACACGACACCTAAAACCAGAAACATAAAGTCACCATTGTGTCTGTACGTGTGTGTATGCGTGTGTATGTGTGTGTATGTGTGCGTATGTGTGTGTATGCGTGCGTATGTGTGTATGTGTGTGTATGATGTGTGTGTATGTGTGTGTATGTGTGTGTATGTGTGTGTATGTGTGTGTATGTGTGTGTATGTGTGTGTGACATTACCACAGCCTGGCGGCTGAACCTCCCCCGAGTATCCAATATTGCGTCGGTGCGGACAATCAGCAGGGAAGGAAGTCTAAGACCGTGGTTATTCGTGTGTGTATGTGTGTATGTGTGTATGTATGTGTGTATGTGTGTATGTGTGTATGTGTGTATGTGTGTGTATGTGTGTGTATGTGTCTATGTGTGTGTACTGTTTGTGAATGTGTGTACTGTATGTGTGTACTGTATGTATGTGTATGTGTGTGTATGTGTGTGCATGTGTGTGTATGTGTGTGTATGCATGTACGCAGAGCTGCCGACGGTATGCAGCAAAACTTTACACACCGTGATTGGCACCAAAATACTGTCACACATATGTTGATGAGACCGAAGATTGCAACGACTAAAGCGTAGTCATTCACGGATTTAGATAGGCAAGAACATGGGACAGATTTATTTGACAAAAGACGATCACACACCAAAAAAATGCTGCATGAATGAGAGTCCTTATGTAATCAATGAATTGAAGAATCCGATGGCAATGTCGCCGAGTATGAATGAATATTATGAGTTGAATTATAACGAGCTCGTCATCAAACAAAAAATTATCCACTCCAAATCACTCAGGAGACAGAAAAATAAAGCAAATAAAAACCTACTCCTGCTGCTGCTAATGCTTTCGTCTACCGCGTTCTGCATCCCCACCTCCTACCCTTCCCGTTCCGTCCTCTACTCGCTGCTCACCACCCCCCACAACACACCTCCTTCCCTCCCCTCCCCCCCTTCCTCCTTCCCTCCCCCCTCCTCCCCTTTCTTCCTCCATCGTATTTACATCAATTAGCTCCCGAACAACCGAACAGGATTCTCTACTCGTCCCTGTCGGGATGGATGAGGGAACTTCACCACCTTCTTGCCGCTGCTGCTGTTGATCATGACAATGACCATCCTCCTCGACCTCCTTCTCCTCCTCCTCCTCCTCGTCATCATCATCATCATCCCAAAGCTCCTTACCCCGCAGATTCTGCACACTTCCAGTTAATCGTGCATCATTGCCCTTGACTTTCAATCTACTTGTCGTGACCTTCCTTCGTTCGTCACTTCCTCCTCCTCCTCCTCCTCCTCCTCCTCCTCCTCCTCCTTTACGCTCTAACCCTTCTCCTGCTGCTCGTGCTCGTGATTTTAATGCCAACGATCGGCGCATCTCCGCCGTCGATTGCGTAACGATAAACACTGGGTTATCTTCTTCCTCAGGTAGCATGCCCTCCATTGACAAGGATGTCTCGTCGTCATTCCCTCCACCACCATGCAATCTCTCGTACTCAGCTTCTTCCTCTGCCATCATCCTCCGCTGATCTATGAACCATGGAGGCAAATTGGGAGGCAGTGTGACCAGATCCTCATCGAATAATTCCATGAATTGCTCGTTAACGTATCTTGCCTTGCTTCCCGCGTATCTTCTGTACTCTCCAATAACCGACGTCAGATTCCACTTCTGCAGTCTGCGAAGACACCCAACGAGGGTACCTGTCTGGTGCACTCCCGAAGCGCACATTATCATCACCGGATGCGAATTGCTATCCAGCACGATCTCCAGCGCCTCCTTAATTAGTTCCTCGCTGATCGGTTTCCACGTCACGTAGGGTTTCCACGCCTTGAGCCCTAAGTGTATGAACTTTGTCCCTGTCTCCTCTAAAAACTGTGTGACCGCACGAATGGGCGCCTCTGGTGAGAGATACAGCACTGTCTTCAGGTTCAGGCGCTTCACAAATGGAAAGTTGATGGAATAAAGAGCGTTGGATCTGTACACATTGGGTTCCACGATTCCGTAGAATTCCGGCGAGCACATATAAGTCAATACGTCGCCAGGACGATAATGCAAAGGGAAAGCCATCTTGGGAAAAAGAGTACTTCAGCAGAAGGTAAACCGATCGAGTCCCAGCTATCACCACCACTCCTCCCGCCTTCTCTTCCGCTCATGTCCTCCCCTTGACTCTCACTATTTTCCCTATCTGAATATCACTCTTTTATGTCTGCTACTTATACCTACAAATGCACATAACTGCATCCAGACCACACTCCTTCCTGCCTCTTACTCCTTCCTTAGCCCCTCCCTCTCTCCTTCTTACCATCTCCAGCCTTCTTATGCCTCCATTTGGTTCCTTACACTCTCATTCCTACGTCCTTGTGTATATTACACTCTTACCCCCTCCCTCCCTCCCGACTTTCTAGCTTTCTCCTTCCCTGTCTTCTCTCTCCCTCCCTTTGTCCTCGCTGTCGTTCATTACACTCCTTCCTCCCTTTTCTCTCTCCGTTCCTATTTCCTTGGCAGCGTTCTTTCAATCGTCTTCCCACCTGGTTCTCCTGTTTCTTGATGCCTTCCTCTGTCGATGCCACTCTCCTCCCCTCCTCGCCGAGGATGTAGTGGCCAAGGTCAAATCATCGAAGTCATCAGCCGCAGAGACAACCTGCCAAATCAGACATCGACAAGTACTTGGACTTAGTTAGTGCCCCATGTTGCGGGATTCTATCGTCCCTTCTCTACTACATGACGTCGCAACATTCAACAAGGCGCTCCACCACAATCGAACGATTTCCTTTCTCTCTCTCTCTCTCTCTCTCTCTCTCTCTCTCTCTCTCTCTCTCTCTCTCTCTCTCTCTCTCTCTCTCTCTCTCTCTCT